TTAATAATGGATCAATGTTAATAATGACTCCTTCCACTTAGACACAAGAACATAGAGCCCCAATGAGGTCAGCCAATGTCCCTATCCAGAGTAGGGAACTGACTCTTGACCTTTTATGAGGACAAAGAAGTGAGGAAAAGGGGGATACATTCTTTTTTTTTTTTTTTTAATGTGTCTTTATTGATTTCAGAGAGAGGAAGGGAGAGAAGAGATAGAAACATCAATGATGAGAGAGTCATTGATCGGCTGCCTCCTCAACCCCTACTGGTGATCGAGCCCGCAACCCGGGCATGTGCCCTGACCGGGAATCAAACCTCGATCTCCTGGATCCTAGGTCAATGCTCAACCACTGAGCCACGCCTGGCTGGGCATGATAAGTCCTTTATTTAGCCCCCAACTAAAACAGTATCTCTCTTGCTAACTGAAATACAAATAACCTTTCCCACCTCCTTGGGACCTCTTGACCCTAGAGCTAAGCCTATTAGATATTCAAATAGTTGATGGCTTTTAAATCAGTTAATTCTTTTGCTTCCATTCAGCCCTGAGCTTTGATTGGCTGTCCTTGGAAAATAGAGGGGTTTTTTTGGTGGTGGGTGTTGGTGGTGAGGAGTAATTCTTTGGAAGGCAAGTTAGGCTCAGATGGAGGGGACTCTGGATAGCCAGAGGTCAGCAAGAAGGCACTGGGCATTTAAACTCCAAGGCAGTGGTATCAAATCTGGATGCAGATTAGAACTACCTGGGGATCTTTTAGAATTACCATTGCCAAGGGTCAACTTCAGATCTATTAAATCAGAATATCTGGGTGGAGGGGGTGGGGTGGGTAGAGCTTGGGCATAAATATTTTTCATAAAGCTCCTCAAATGGCTCTTCTGTGTAATCAGAGTTGAGAATCCCACCAGGTACAGGAGAAGGAATGGCATGGGATGAGCAAAAAGTGCAGGCATGTGTGGAATATTTCTGACTCCAGCCTGCTATGTGTTATAAGCACACACTACAGAGATGGGGTTAGAAGAGCAGAGTCATGTGCTTAAAGAAGGGCATGATTCTTGTGGGTTGGGTGCTGCCTGGAGAAGGTAAAATGTATAAACTGGCAAAAAAGTGGAAAGCTCAAAAATGCGAAGTGTAGTGGAATAATGTGGTGGAAGTGCAGGCTGCTGTGGTCTTTCTGTACTGCAGTTTGACACTACATAGTCCAATTAAGTATCCTTAATAGCCTATGAATCAGCAAGTATGATTTTAGATATATATGCTCAAAGATAGTCTCACTCAGGGGGCATGTAGGAGATTGATCATTGCAGTGTTATTGGGGGTGATTGGGAACTGAAGGCTTTGCTAGGAGAGTAGAATGTAGGGGGTACACATCATCAGACTATTATTGAGCAGTTAGAAGCAACAGGTTAGATATACACAGAGCAACATAAGTGGGTCTTAAAACCATAGGTACTGAACGCAAAAAGTGTGAAACATATTGAGGTATATAAAACTATTATATTTGTGCATACACAAAATGTAGCACACAAAACAATATTTACTTTGCAAGAACCATACAAACAAAAATATAAACATTTCCTATGTGGGGAAGGAAAAGAGAGCAGGCTATAGTGCTAAAAGGCAAATATGGCCCTGGCTTGTGTGGCTCAGTTGGTTGAAGCTTTGTCCCATACACCAAAAGGTGGTGGGTTTGATTCCAGGTCAGGGCACATACCCAGGTTTCAGGTTCGATCTTCAGTCCAATTGATGTTTCTCTCTCGATCGTGCGCGCGCGCCCCCTCCCTTCCTCTCTAAAATTAATTTAAAAATAAAATAAAGGCAAATATATAACTAGATAACTATTTTATAAAAAGTAAGATCTAAATCAGACCTTGAAAGATGAGTAGAAAGGAGGGGGAAAGGGAAGCCTTCTAGAATGGCAAAATGACTCCTACAAGCTAAGGCCAGGAGGCAGAAGTGTGCTGAGCAGGTGGAGTAGGAGAAAGGTCTGATTGGAGCAGAGAGATGTATTAAAGCAAAGTGGGAAGTAAGGCTGGAGGGAGAGGATTGGATAAGATTTTGAAGGTCTGGAAAGCCAGACAAAGGAATTTAAACAATGATAAAGAAGGTAAATAATGATAAAGAGCCATAAAAGGATTGAGCAAGAAAGAATGTGCTGAAAGTGAAGTCATATGAGGTGGATGGAGAGAACTGGATTGGAGGTGAATACTAGAATGGACTAAGCAGAACAGATGTCGTCTGGAACAGGCTAGCACTGGAGGTGGAGGTTGAAAGAGATATTTTGATAGATTACTAGCTGAATACAGTCACTAATAGACAAGGTTAAGTCGGATTGGTCTTAAACCAGACAGGGGAAGAAAGTAAGTCCAGTAGTACCTGTGATTTCTCACACTGGAAATCCAGTTTTCCAGCACTTTAAAGGTTCTAAAGGTTCCGTGATCTCCTGGAGTAAGCACCCACAAGCTGGCTCACAGATGCACGCAGTTTAGAGTTGGCAGAGATCTTTGTTTTCCAAATGACAAAAGAGAGGATCGGAGGTGTTCAGTTAATTGCCCCAAGTCAACTAATTAACTGGAGAAACGATGCGCTAGAACCAGGCCTCTTAACTTCTAGTCCAATGAACTCTCCTAAACTGTTGGATATGAGGGGCTTGAAAATCAAGGCAAGCCACATTTGGATATCTCAGTTTGTCTGACCATGAGAGGTCAGTTTTCAAGAAAGAGGATTTACCCTTTCTGTACCCAGCCTCTGCCAGCTCAGTTTCAATCCATATGCATATAAACTGTCTATCTGGTAGGGCTTCTAAACAAAAACTCCTTGTGTTTGCTTTACTAACCCTTATCTCAACATGACTGGACAAAGTGAGGACTGTCAGTGACAGCCAGCCTCATCGGGCAATATTCTCATGCTCCTCTTTGGATGAAAAAGTAAAACAAATGACTTCTAAAAAGAATAGAATATTAGAGTTTACAAGATACTAACTTCCCACCCAAACTGAAACCCACTAAACAATACCACTGACATGATCATCCTGTCTCTATATGTTTTCAGGGATGGGGCAGTCCATTCCTTTGTCAGGACAGATCTGATTACTAGGAAACTCTGAGGCTGAGTCTGATGTCACTGCAGTGTGATTCAGTGGAAATACAGGGGAGTCAAGCAGACTTGATTCAGAATCTTAACTATGTAATTTGCTGCATGATTTGAGCAAGGTATTTATCTTCTATCAGTTTCATTCACTTCATATGTACATTATGGATAATATCTGTTTTACAGAGTTACTATGAATATTAGAGATTATGAATGTAAAATACTTAGTACAGTGCCTGGCACAAAGAGTTAATAAAGTGACAGCTGTTATCATCATCATCATCACCATCATCATAATTATTATCCCACCCATTGGTCCTAGTTTGCCCTGTGGTGTTACATACATATGCCTTTCAATAGTTTCAAATACTTGAATTTAGTTGTCATGTTATTTCTAAGTGTTCTTTTTTCAGAGTAAGCATCCACCAATATTTTCTCTCTTGGTTATCCTGCCCTTGGCTATGCTCCTGCATGTGATGTTTGTAGAACATGGTGCTCATAAATGAACAAAGTACTCCAGGTGTAGTCTGAGTGTTTCAAAACAGAGTAAGACCATAAGCCTCTGTTCCCCAGACATCATTCTTCAAGCTGCCTAGGGCCTTTTTTAGCTTTTTAGGCAACCGTGTCATATACTGACTTGGTTCTACGGAAACTTCTAGGTTGTTTTCATATGAGTGAGTTTTAAGTTTTCCCCATTTTGCACTTGTGTAGAATTATTTTTTTATTTCAAGACTAAACTTTTTATTAACTGAAAGCTTATTATGTATTAGGTATTGTTCTATGGTCTGTGGACACAGGAATGATGACTAGGACAAAGTATCATGATGCTAGAAATGTAGGCGCCACAAGACTGGGTCTATCACGCTCACTAATGAATCTCATTTCTTGGCATGATGTCTGCACATGGTTATGTGCTTACTGTTGTTGAATGAACAAATAAAATAGCTTACACTACAATTTTTTCTTATAAGTAAAAAGGCATTTCCCCAACTCACTCATTTAAAAAATTCAGCTATTTTATACAAACCTATCACTTTTAGCACAAATCTAGTGTTCTTTTTCCATCTACGGTATAATCAATTTCCAAAATAAATCTGCACTGTCCCTTTCAAGGCCAAACTAAATACATACATGCTTTATTTGCTGGATGGCCATTATATTCCACGATTGCAGGCATGTGATAAGTACTTGTTTGACCCTTAATGCAAGGCTTACAACTCAGGGTTAGCAGTAGCAGGCCAACTTTGTGAATGCTAGACACCCAAGAATTTTCGGAACCAAGTTCTATCGGGCCCTGACTGGCTGTAGGGGGAAATAAGGTCTTCGGGAGAAGTGTGGGGCGATGGCTTAGGAGAACCTTGAAATTCTGCATTGGTCTGTGAAGTGCTGCCAGGCGCTCATAGGCCCAGCGCCTCTGGGTCGAAATTCATCCCGACGACATCAGATATATGAAATTTTGGAGTATCCAGTTCTCTAAAACCACAGTTAGGGAGGTCCTAGAAACTCTGTGTCCTCTCACAGTTTTTTCCACTGTTTGGGCTACAGGTGAGGCGCTGATCGCCATCTTGACATCAAATGCCAGGCAGGCGGCCACTGGCGTCGCTCGGTAACCACGGAGACACCCGTGCCCCTCCCGCCGTGCATCCCGTAGAGGCCGTAAACTACGATTCCCATCAGCTGATTGTCTCTACTCGAAGGCGAGATGTCCGGCCGGGGTCCGCCGGCCGCCGCGACCCTGCCGCAGTGAACCGCGGGAGTTGCAGTTCGCAGGGAGGCCGGGCACTTGGCTGCGGGAAGCTCCAGGACTACAAGTCCAGCGAGCCCGCGGACTCACGCAGGCGCACGGAACAGCCGGCGCTCCCCGCCCTCCTGCGGGTGCCTGAGAGGTAAGAGAGGGCGGGGGAAGGAAGAGGAGGCGGGATCCGGGCGCTGCGTTGGCTGCGGTCTGGCACCAAGGGGGCGGCCCCGGCGGAGTGCAGACCCAGTGGCCCTCGGAGATTATGGACCCGGCCGAGGCGGTGCTGCAGGAAAAAGCGCTCAAGTTTATGGTGAGGGGAAGGTGCAGGCTGGGGAACGGTGGAGGCTGTGGCGTTGGCGGCGGCGCTAAGGCTCGGGCCTGGGCCGCCCGTCCGCCGGAGGAGGGGGCACAGGGACTCTGGGCCGAGGCCGGCTGCGGGGGTTGCTGAAGGGACGGGACGGGAGCTCCAGGGAGGCGGGAGGGGGTGCGGAGAAGACCCGGGGGT